ACTGTAAGTGCTGAACAGTATCTGGGTAGATATTAGAAAAGGACTTCTCAGGGCTGGGCCTCTGCTCTGAGGGTCTTAAAACCATCTGAGGACTCTCTCTAAGCTACAACCCTTGTGTCAAAGGCAATCCTACAACCATAGGAGCTAACTTTTCACCAAGAACTGGTGAGGATGTGCTGGGTCTCTGACTCAGTGGGCAGATAAGAACCCAAGTGCCTTTTAGCACTATTTCAGTTCACAGTACTGATCCCACATACACGAAGCAATTTCCCTGAAATGAGCAAATAAAGAGGTTTATACAGAGGTGGGCAGAGTTGTTAGATTTTTTCAAAAAAAAAAAGATGAGAAAGTCTCTCAGCAAAAAGAACTTGGCTGGGCAGAGTGGCTTATGCCTGTAATCCCAGCATTTTGGGAGGCCAAGGCAGGAGGACTGCTTGAGCCCAGGAGTTCAAGACCAGCCTGGGCAACATGGCAAAAGCCCATATCTATAAAAAATACAAAAGTTAGCCAGGTGTGGTGGTGCATGTCTATGGTCCTAGCTATCTGAGAGGGTGAGACAGGAAGATCACCTGAGTCCAGGAGTTCATTGCTGCAGTGAGTGGTGATGGTGCCACTGCACTCCAGCCTGGGTGACTGAGTGGGACCCTGTTCCCCCCCAAAACTGCTTTTCTAATACAAGAGTTTATGATTTACATTTATAAGAAACCTTGGATATAGGCAGGACTCTGGGAATCTGGTGGCCAGTTAGGGCCAATTTCTGAAGAAGGTAAAGTGAATTCCACAGTGAAATTTCTGGATTCTTGACAGCTGGTTAGCAGTGGTAACAAGCTGGATTACTGTCAATATTCTGTCCTCTGGGCCTGAGCAAACTCATCCTGTCTGGTTGACTTGGCTCCCCTCCCTGTACCCAAAGCCATTTCAGAGGAATATTAGTAGATATCATTTGTTGGTTGTCATTGCTGGATGAAAGTTCAACTTGCAGGCTGCTGTGCCTGTATTTTAAATTACATTTGGGTCCTCTGATCCTGGACACTGCTGTTGTCATGGACTTCAAGGAATACAACGACAGTGAGTCACCCTATCAATCATCAGCAACAAGAAGCCACTCACCAGATGGAAAAGTGGGTGGGTGGGGGGCGGCTGGGGGGCACTGCTTCTTGGAGTGGGTAAAATGTGCTGATTTCATTCCTTTTTCATACATATTCTATTGTTTTCATCTATTAAGTTTGCTGGAGAGTCCCTTGTGGTTGAAGAAGGAGTTAACGATCTTTACCGTTTCTTTAGACCAGCAGGTTGAGGAAAGTCTCCATTTCAGGTGGTAACAAACATGCCCCGCTGAAATTTGGGGCCTGCTGTAATGACTTTTCAGGCACAGGTGCCTGTTTGGCTGAGGATCTAAGCTCAACCTGGGATCTGACATGACCCCTGGGCCAAGCGAGGAGCTCACCCTGGTGGCTAAGCTCTCTCTGGGGCCCTGTTTCTCTTCATTCATAGCTTCAGTGTGGAAACTGAAAGGCAGAGAAACTCCCCCTTTTCATTTGTTTTCGTTGCTTCTGGACCATCTGACCGCAGACAACTGATTGGTTCAAGGTAGAAATCAACCATACTCCCCTAAACGGCAGAATTCATTTGTTCTCACAGCTTGACGCTTAAACCTTCAAGTTGCAGTTACTTCTCTCTTGCCAACGTAGAGCACTCTCCCCCCACTCGGTGGGGACTGTCTGTAGTAAAGTGACATCTTCATCCAGGTAGACAATCCTCCTGGAACCAGTGCAGGGCCTGCTACAGGTGTTCAGGACACATGCAAGGGAGATGCAGCGTGCCAATTATGTGCAGAAATTCTCAAAGTCCAGGTCAAGAAAATCATGTCTTCCCCTGTCACTGGCATTTCTCCAGGAAAATGCTTGGAAGAAGGCCCCTCATAGTCTGTATTTACCAGTCAAAGTAACCCGAGCTAACCTTGAATAGATACTCAGAGCCAAGCATGTCCATTACAGTGCATCAGCTTTTTCACTCCCCATTTTACAGATGAGAAACTGAGGCTTCCAGACATTAATTCCATCAGTGGCAGAGACCAGATTTGAACCTAAGCTTTCTGCCTCCAGGGCCCATATATACCTTCTCTCTATGAAGTGAATGTAGGATTTCAGAGCTCATAGAACTCTATGAGAGCACAGGTGAACTTCCTCATTTTCCCCCTTTGGGGAGAATGGATCGAGAGATGATTCCAGAGCCTGTTAGTGCCATACTGGGCCTGGAACTCAGGTGTCCCATCAGCCAAGCCAGCGTCTCCCTGGATAAATGTCTCCTGTGGATTAACCTCCATAAGTTGCAGAGCAATAAAAGAGAAGCAGCTCCCCTTAGGGAGCACCTCCTGTGAGCCAGGCACAGACCAAGGATTTACATATGTAAATATTTCACACCAGTCCACGAGGTGGGCATTAGTCCTGCCTTTTGACCGGTGAGGAAACTCAGGCTCAGAGAGGCCAGGTAGTTAATGTAGACGTGGGTTTTGTATGCAGATTTTTCTGATGCTTTCCACCCACTACACTATACCTTCAAAACTGGGGCCACACTATGAACTTGAAGCATTTGCTGGAAGTTCACAGAGAACTTGCTGTATCTTCACTGAATCATCCAGAACTCAGGATCCACCAGGTAGCCCACCATGTAGTTTCTTTGTGGGCTTCTTGTGACAGCTTCAGCCTTGGGGCCACAAAACCACGGAGGCGTTGTCTGGGCTCAAGAGTTGAGCTAAAACCAGCTCAACTGTCGTGGAATAAAACCTTGACCATTTTCTTAGTCTTAGACTGTATCCTCAGCACAGGAGGTCCTTCAGCAAACAGCCAGCCCTGAGAGCTAAGAAGAGAAGTCCAGTTTTCCTCTGATTACCCTGTGCTCTGGACAGCCTCCTAGCCCACCAGCACAGGCTATGGGACTGTGCTGTTCACTGCCCAGCCTACATGACCCTTCTGTGGTCCATTTGGGTGGAGGCTCAGGGAGGACAAGTGCCCACCTCCCCAGACCTCCAGATGGGGATGGGGTTCCTGGGTGGTAATTTTGGTAAGTCCATGTGCCATCCGCAACTGGGATTTCCCCTCTGATGGTGGACTCCTGACACTTTAGAATACCTGGCAGCCTTGGGTATCAGCCATTCCAAGAGGAACCTAAGTGAGGTGCCCACTGCCATTTCTAATTCTACAGGTTAGTGTGAGCCCCTCTGACTTGGCCTACCTGTTCCTCACATAGCAGGAGTAAGTGCACCTCCCCTAGGGCCCTGCCTCACCCTTCTCAAGGCGAAGGGTGAGTATCAGCTGTCAGCAGGAGGGCTGCTATCCTCTTCAGAGGGGGCTGCTGGGTGCAGCCACATTTCATACAGAGGGAGTGCGCTCAGGGTTTATTAGAGGGTACAGAAGAGCTGCTAGATTCCAGTCCAATCTGCGTTTAGGTCTATTCATAGCTTGGGCACTTTTCTATTGTAAATCACGCGAATGATTTACAATAGATCCTAGGTAAATCATGCAAATTTGCTGCAAAATGGAGTATTTGCCACAAATAGGCTTTGAAGGGGCATCGGTGATGAGTGAAGTACTGTTTGTGCAGTGTGAGATCCAGGAGTCCTTGAAAGCATTGTATTTATGTATGATACATTTTCATAGAAGCCTTCATATCCAAGAATCTCAGGCCGTCCCTGAAAATCCTGGTCTTGCAAATGCTCACAAGAATCACCCAAGGCCAACAGGGGTGGGGGGGATGCAGACACCCAAAATTCCTTCTTCTGTTCTCAACTTGGGCTGCCTACCCAACCAGGCAGTGGCCATCGATAGCTTGGAACATGCCTCTTTCTTGCCTCAAGAGCTACTGCCCATTTCACAGGGGCAACTGAGGAGGCCAATTGAATGGACTGATTACCACTTGTGAGGCTATGGCTACTCCTTTGCGAGGCCTACTTTAAGTCACTGGGCTGCACAGAGACAGCAGAATAAAAAACAACAGTGTATGGCGAAGGATGACTATCAGATTATTCTGAGAACCTTCAATATGAAAAAGATATTTTAAAAAAGAGGTTAAAAGGGATTGGTCTATAAGTCTCACTGAGTCAGAAGATTAGAGTGAGCCTTTCTAGAAAAAATACTTTAGAAACACACACACACTCTTCAGTGTTCTTAGATAAATATGCGTTCCTATCTTTGACTATATTAATACTGTTAACCTATTTTAAATTCCTGTGGCACAGCACGAGTCTTACATAGTTATAAGTTTTTTTTAATGCATGAGCTTTAAACTCATTTTCTTACTTTAAATAGATGTATATTAACTCTCCGTTTAGGCTGCAGGACCTCCTAGCTTACTATAACAGTCCAACAAAATACAAGTGGATGCAAACTCTGTAATTTACGCACAGGCATAAATGGATATATAAATGTAAAAATGTGCACAATATTTGATGCCATGCTTGGCTTCATTGTGACCTAATGTTTATAATATGTAAATAATGGCTTCCTTTTAAAGCAAAGAACTATTAATATACAGATTCATCTGAACTCCTTTTTCTTTAATATAAACAGAAATAAAAAAGAAAAAAGTATTCTTTTGCAATAAATAAATACCCAGTGACAAAGGTTACCATTGAAGGAATTAAAATGACAGAAGTCAACAGAAAACTTTCAATATTATACTTCGACTTTAACAGGAAGATATTGTTATCAAAGGAACAGACTCTAGAAATTCTTTGATAAAAATAATCTCACACTATCTTTGAAGCGGTTGCATTTATTTTACTACCCACTGTGTTTCTTATCAGAAGGCCAAGGGTAAGAAGTTTCCTAGTTATGATTAGGAAAGAATCTAATAGATCAGAAGACCCAATTGAAGTTGGACATAATAAGTATTAAAGTATTACATGACATTAATCCTGCCATTCCATTACTCTCTCCATCTTTGTGCACAGACTAATTATTCTGTAGCCACTGTTCAGGAGAAAATAGAAACATACTTACCCTGGGCCGGAGTAATCTCTTTATTGCATCAACAAGGCTGGCTCTGTACTGGTCCAGAAACAGGCTGACATTGAGAAGAGAGCAGAATCCAGATTAAACTGGGTTTTCAAGTCTAATGATACTAATAGAGATAAGTACAAGGCTAATTACACATGTTTACTCAACACTAAAAAAGAGAAATTGTTTCCTACCATTCAAGTGTCTCACTGGAGGGAGCTGGGGGGAGGAGATACTGTGGTCAGTGTTAGCCAACTAAAGTCAAGTTGTCAATATGCAAATGGGCCAGGACTCACACATGACTGGGCCATGTGTGAATGTTACAGGGACAATTTCCAAACTGCTGTTTGGGGTAGCCATCTGGTTGAGCTGGAGCTCTCTGGGCACTTCCTGTCATTAGAGCCTAGTCTCCCTTAAACCTGGGTGCTCTGCTCACCAAGGGTGCTGTGTGGCTGCCCTCAGACATCAAGCCACCAGCCCTATAACACCCAAACCATGAAATATATCTCAAGGAAGTAATGGATTTTAGTGACTAGAAACAGCACTGAGGTTAGTTAGACTCAACCTCTGACTTAGGAGTGAACAGCTAAAAAAAAAAGAGCAGGCCCAGGCAAGACATCACAGAGACCATGGCAACTTTGGATTTTCCTCTCTGGGCCTCTACATTAATTTTTTGTTTGTTTTTTTCATTTTCTTTCTTTCTTTTTTCTTTTTTTGAGACAGGGTTTTGCTCTGTCATCCAGACTGAAGTGCAGTGATGTGATCATACCTAATAGCTCATTGCAGCCTCAAACACCAGGGCTCAAGCAATCCTCCCACCTCAGCCTCCCGAGTAGCTAGGACTACAGGTGTGCGCCACCATGCCCAGCTAGTTTTTTGTTTGTTTGTTTGTTTGTTTGTTTTTTTAAGAGACAGGGTCTCACTCTTTTGCCAGGGCTAGTTTTGAACTCTTGAACTACTGGGCTCAAGCAATCTTCCTGCCTCAGCCTCCCAAAGTGCTGGGATTACAAGCACATGCCTCTGTATCCAGCCTATGTTAATGTTTTTATAGTTCACTTTGATTTTCCATTTTCCATCCCTTTAGCAAATTTCTGTTCATGTAGCCCTGTCTGTCATCCCTTTGCTTGGGTCAGTCTGACTCTGTCCTTACCAGGGAAGCTTGGGACACAGTTTCCTTATCTGAACTTGCAGGTCCCAGACCTCTGAGTTTGGGTTGCTTGCCAGTAGGTAGCAAGTTACTCAATTCGGCCATACCTGATGCTATGGTCTGAATGCTTCCCCTAAATTCATGTGTTGGAAACTTAATCCCCAATGCAACAGTATTGAGAGGTGGGGAGTTTGCCTCCTTTTTGCCCTTCTGCCTTCTGCTATGTGAGGACACATGTTCCTCCTCTCCAGAGGATGCAGCATTCTAGATGTCATCTTGGAAGAAGAGACCAGATGCTCACCAGATGCCAAACCTGCCAGTGCCTTGATCTTGGATTTACCAGCCTACAGAACTATGAGAAGTAAGTTTCTGTTCTTTATAAATTACCCAATTTGTGGTATTCTGTTATAGCAGCAGTAAATGGACAAAGATAGCTGGATGTTTATTAAAACCAAGGAAAGGATTCTGTGGGTAGGGCTAGGGTGGGGACAGGCGAAAGCATTTAGTGCTGAAGGCATGCACAACAGACCTGGCTGCCAAACACCAGGGGAATTGTCCCGCCTCTGCAGAAGGGCTCCTGGGCATTGCTAGAGCACTCTGCCAAGAGAAAGCAAAGCCGCTAGAGACTGCCAATGATAGCTATTGGTAGGGACTTTTTTTTTCCTGAACCCCATATCAGGATATATGAGCTGATATTATGTTGGTGCAACTTTTGCACCAACATAATAACTATGAACTGAGCTCATAATAACTGAGCTTAGAAAATACGGCTGAATCTTTGAAATCTGAACAGTCCTGGAATGTCCAGGATTCCAAAACCTTGGGACCTGAATTGTATATACAGCACTGAAAGGCAGTGATACTGTTTGGATGTTTGTCCCCCCAAATCTCATGTTGAAATGTGTTCCCCAATGTTGGTGGTGGGGCCTAGTGGGAGGTATTGGGTCATGGGGTGGATCTTTCATCCATGGGGTGGCTCTACCTTGGTGAACTCCCCATGGGAATGAGCTCATGTGAGATCTGGTTGTTTGAAAGAGCCTCTCTTGTCTCTCTCTCGCTATTGCTCCCCCTCTCTCACCATGTGACCGCCTGCTTCCCCTGTGCCTCCTGCCATGAGGAAACTCTCTGAGGTCCTTACCAGAAGCAGATGCCAGCAATAGGCTTCCTGTACAGCCTGCAGAACCATGAGCCAATTAAATATCGTTTCTTTATAAATTACCTAGCCTCAGGCGTACCTTTGTAGCAATGCAAAATGGACTAATACAAACAATAAAGAGATAAGAAAGAAGAGGGCACTATGCCAGTCCTTATGGAGGTGACACTAAAACAGGGAGGTGAGCCAGGCACAAGGACACACATTAAACACAAATGGCAGAGACATACATTTTAATAACAAAACAGTTAATACTTGGTTGGGCGTACTGGCTCGCGCTTGTAATCCCAGCACTTTGGGAGGCTGAGGCGGGCGGATCATGAGGTCAGGAGATCGAGACCATCCTGGCCAACACGGTGAAACCTCATCTTTACTAAAAATAAAAATATTAGCCAGGCATGGTGGCAGGCACCTATAATCCCAGCTACTTGGGAGGCTGAGGCAGGAGAATCGCTGAACCCAGGAGGTGGAGGTTGCAGTGAGCCAAGATTGCGCCACTGCACTCCACCCTGGCGACAGAGTGAGACTCAGTCTCAAAACAACAACAATAACAACAACAACAAAACCAGTTAATACTTATTGAGCTGAGTATTAGGTAACAGGTACCTTCTAAGAACTCTTCATGGCTCATTTCATCCTCACATCAATCCTATGAGGTAGGTTTTACTGTCAGCATTATTATTGTCCACATTTTGTAGCTAAGGAAATTGAGGCATAGAGAGGTTTGGAGTCACACAGCTACTAATCAGCAAGGCTGGGATTCACCTCTGTACCATATTAGCTTCAGAATCTGTGCGCTGAGCCATTGCTCAGTACTGCCTCTCACATCTAATCGTAATTACTTCTGAGCATGAAAGAATGCATGGAAGAGACCACTGACAGGTTTAGGCAAAAGAGGGAAGTCATCAGATGATTAGAGTTAGGCAGGTTGGTTGAGAAAGCCATCCCTGTTTACTTGTATCCATAGTGATCTCTTCCTTTTCCAGGCTCAGTACAACAAGCAGAATATTTGGAGGTTCTCCCGGGTTCCTGCATTTCACTGTTGTCCTCTGATCCAGCTGCTATGCTTCTTGAAGGCAGAGAGCATCTCTGCGTTTCCTTTTTTTCATCTCAGTCTGTTGCCCAGGCTGGAGTGCAATGGCACGATCTTGGCTCACTGCAACCACTGCCTCCTGGGTTCAAGCAATTCTCCTGCCTCAGCCTCCCAAATAGCAGGGACTACAGACACACACCACCATGCCCAGCTAATGTTTGTATTTTAGTAGAGACAGGTTTTCATCAGGTTGGCCTTAAACTCCTGACCTCAGGTGATCCGCCCACCTCAGGCTCCCAAAGTGCTGGGATTAAAGGCGTGAGCCACCACGCCTGGCCTCATCTCTGCATTTCTTTGCCTCTCCTATAACATTTGGGAAAGAGCTGAGGACATAGTAAATGAAAAGGTTGATTCCTGGGGAAGAACAGCTGTGCTGTAGAGGCAGTCACTATAGTGATAGTGTATGCCTTGAGGAGTGTATGAGACATACATCTTCAGCTTTCCAGCCATCAGTTCTAGGATGTGTTTTTTGCAAAGCAAAAAAATAAAATAAATAAATAGGACTGTCTCTTCTACTTAATGAAAATTGACAATGATGTCTTTTTAAAAAACAGGGACAGCAGGCCGGGCACGGTGGCTCATGCCTATAATCCCACCACTTTGGGAGACCAAGGTGGGCCGATCACCTGAGGTCAGGAGTTCAAGACCAGCCTGACCAACATAGTGAAACCCATCTCTACTAAAAATACAAAAATTAACCAGGCATGGTGGTGCCCACCTGTAATCCTAGCTACTTGGGAGGCTGAGGCAGAAGAATTGCTTGAACCCGGGAGGCAGAGGCTGCAGTGAGCTGATATTGCACCACTGCACTCCAGTCTGGGTGACAGAGTGAGATTTTGCCTGAAAAAAAAAAAAAAAAAGCAGGGACAGCAAAACTACTTTTGAAACCTCTTAACCCATAACACCATTTTAAATGCATTTGTCTGGAAAGTCATGGAAAACTGTTTCATGCACAACCTGGATATCTTCTCTAACAGTGGGTCCCTTGCTTTAAGCTAGAATACTCAGCAACCTTGTGCATCAGCCATCTCCATGAGGGGCCTAAGCAAGACCATTCTCCCGCTTCTAATGCTGCAGGTCAGTCCCCTCTGATATAGCAGGAGTAAGTACCACTACCTACTCTAGGGACCGGCCTCATCCTTCTCTTAGCTAAGGGTGAGTACCAGCTGTCAGTGAGAGGGCTGCTGTTCTCACTCAGAGGAGGTTGCTGTGTGGAGTTATACTTTAGAAAAATGAGGAGTATGGTTCAGGATTTTAAAGAGTTCTGGCTTTGATGTTGCCGCTATGTGACTTTGGGAAGGTCACTTCATTTGAAGCCTTAGTTTCCATGTCAATAAGCATCTACCTATATGACTATGTGGGCATCAAATCAGTAAGATATGTTAGTTGATAAATATTTGTTGAGCATCTACTATATATACTAAGGGCAAATTTAGGTACTGAGGATGAGCTATGAATAAGATAAAGTTCCCATCCTCGAGGAGCTTTCATTCTGTCTTCATTTTGCTTTACTATTAATAGTTCCAGGCCGGGTGCGGTGGCTCATGTCTATAATCCAAGCACTTTGGGAGGCCGAGGCAGGTGGATCATGAGGTCAAGAGATCGAGACCATCCTGGTCAACAAGGTGAAACCCCGTCTCTACTAAAAATACAAAAATTAGCTGGGCACAGTGG